TTTGCTGGTGATACACAGCCCTAACTATTACCTAAACGCTTTCCACCTGTCTCAACATCTCTCACTGTTTCTCTTACTCTGATTGATGCAAATGAGTAAACAGACAATTCTACACTTATGGTGTCCTACAAAGAAATGTAGAAAATACAAAATATTAGGCTACAACACTGTATACCATCACTGAACTAAATTATACACATATGCAAATCACATTTCTTAAATACAGCTTACTTATCAGATCCTTTTCAATCTGGTTTCACTGCTTATTACAGCAAAGAGTCTGCTTTGCTTAAAGTGTTCAATGATATTTTGGTTGCAGTTGATGCCGGTAAAAATGTGGTACTGATTCTACTTGATCTTACAGCTGCCTTTGATACTGTAGATGTCTTATTTGGCGTTTAGAACATTTGATCGGTATGAGGGGCACAGCCTTACGGTGGTTCAGCTCATATCTCAAAGCTAGGCAAGTTTTCCTCATCATCTGCCCCAATCATTAGTGGAGTACCTCAGGGCTCCATTCTGGGGCCGCTTCTTTTTAACTTATATATGTGCCCTCTGGGGGATATTATTAGGAAGCACAATGTTTCTTTTCATTTATATGCTGATGATACACAGTTGTACCTCCCACTAAAAGCTGGTGATTCCGTTCAACCTTTGTTGGGATGTATCTCAGAAATGAAAAAAAAAAAGGTTATCAAATAACTTTCTCCAACTCAATGAGAACAAAACAGAAATTATTGTTTTTGGTCCCCCAAAAATGAGGACGGATATCATTAAGGAGCTGGGCAATCATTTCCCCTCAATTTCCTCACAGGTTAGAAACCTGGGTCTTATCATAAACTCATCCAAACAAATCAATTCTGTTGTTAGGAACATGTTTCTTCAATTGCGGGTCATTTCCAAACTTAAATCGTTTTTGTTTTGTCAATATTTGGAGAAGGTTGTTCATGCTTTTATTACCTCTTGTTTAGGTTACTGTAATTCACTGTACTCCGGTCTTCCTCAGTCATGCTTTCACACCTCCAGTTGGTACAAAATGCAGCTGCAAGGCTGCTGACTGGGGCAAAGAAATATGACCTGAAACGAACCATTTTAGAGTTCAGTTTAAGATTCTGTTGTTTGTTTTTAAAGCTCTTATCTGTCAAGCTCCATCTTATCTCAAATATATTATTATCCCTTTGTCATCTACCAGACTTTTAAGATCCACTGATAGGGCTCTTTTATTTGTCCCTCGTTCCCGTTTGAAAACGAAGGTTGACAGAGCTTTTACTGTCACTGCCCCCCATCTGTGGAACCAATTGCCTCTAGAAATCTGCCTTGCACCTTGCATTACCATTTTTAAATCGAGGTTGAAAACGTATCTCTTCTCTGTAGCATTTTAATCTCACTTTATTGTTGTTTCATTGTCTGTCTTGTTTGGTTCTTTTTTTTTCTCTCTTTTAAATTTGTTTTATATTGTTCAGCACTTTGGATAGCTTTGCTATGTTTAAATGTGCTATATAAATAACATATACTTACTTACTTTTAACTATCCAATCAGAAAAGCACGGAAGCCCTAAGAGGCCATGTGTTATTTTATTTTTACTTTCTCAACTTTCCACCAATTTTTTTTATATCTAGATTACAAGAAAACAACTTGTGTTGAGATCATGAGAAATCAAGAAATAATAATAATAACGCTGCATGCGTTTAGGACTTTTGTAAAACAGGGAACCCATGTGTTTTTCCCCAGTGCATAGGTGTACACAAATGGAAACAAAGTTGCTTTAAATGTTTCATGTGGATACACAATAGCTGCATATTATCAAAACCAACGGTGTTATTGATATCTTTGTTATACTGTCGACTCTATAGAACAAGGGGCAGAGAAAATAATATCCGATGAATACCGAACCTAAAGTAATTAATTACCGTGCTTTACATGGTTAAAATTAAAAACAGATGCTGCTATACTTCATATTGAGCCACGTGGGACATTTTAAATCTATACATAAATATGAACAGATTTATAGTGTAAACACTGGAAATATAAAAATGTTGCTTTGTGATTTATAAAACTATAACATGTTAATAATTTAATTAGTTTATTGCTCAAGAGATTTAGGAAATCAAACCTTATTTATATATTATGTGCTCTTGTGTATAGTTACTAATTCGTTAATGAAGATGGGTGTCATAACATTTCTGTGTTTATGCTTTCATTTTTCATTCTTACTGTTATTTATATTTGTAAGAATTTATATTATTTTGTTTAGGGGTGCTCCGATTGATCGGCTACCGATCAGTATCGGCCGATAATCACGTTGGGAGGATTGATCGGTGGTCTCTATAAAGGCCAATCTCAAAAAACCAATCTCAAACTGATGACGCTGCCGTGAGAAGGTTTGGCACGACATGCAGCGGCACCATCTCAGTCTCTGTCCTGCGCAGGGGAAATTATTATAATGCAGAAAGTGAGGTACTCACCTTCATATTTCTTAATTAGATAACTTATAAAGTAATTTGAAAACATTGTGTGAGACGTAATTTCATAAACAGCGAGAGTGAATTACCGCGCGCACGCGCTCTCTCAAAATACTCAACTGCCCAGACAGCACACATACGTTGGGTCGATGTCGACCCGACGTACAAAATTCCATCGGCACGTTTCAATGTTCACAATGAGGTTTTGAACCCCACTGACAGCCTGTTGGGTCAGGTTATTAATATGGTGGTTTTTTGATTGTTTATTAAGTTATAATTTGTATCACACATAGTATTACCTGGGGTAGAATGACTTGAATGAAGGCTACAAAAGTTCCATCCTCCATAGTCTTCTTGATCTGAAATACAGCACCAAAGAGAAAACTTGCTTAACCAAAAGTTAAATTGCACTCAATAATGATAAACAACAATAAATAAAAATAATTACATTTCAACAAATACTGTAGTTACCTTTTTGGCCCTTCCAGCAATGTCTGTGTTTGCTGATGCACTGGCCAAGTGGTCCATGTGCACATAGACTGCAGTAAACTGTCCTGGGTCCTGAAGATAACCTCCTCTCGCTCCAGTTTGAACAGTGTCTCCAAAGATCTAGACACATGTGGTAGCCAGCACGTGTATGATTTCGGCAGCACTGCCGAATTCATACCCCCCCCCAATGATATCACGTTTGCTGGGTCAGAGACCCATAAAACTCATTCTGGTGACACATCTGGTCCTGTAGAGTACCTGCAAAAAAGCACAAGTGTTTAGATTCAATAATGAGCATTTAATATAGGGGGGTATGATTTTGGCAGCACTGCTGAATTCATATGGCATTCTATTGATATGCTCGATGCATAAGCACAAGGTCTGTATAGCTTTTCAGTGTTATCAGCATAAGGGCAGAGTAATTTAGACAGGTTTAACAAAACTCCTGAAATTGTTCTGCTCCCTAAGAAACACATTCTGTTTCATGATAAGGAATATTGCAATAGAGAAAATGAGCAGGGTAAAACTACTCTGTAGTAAAAACACACAAACGATAAATGCACAGCTAGACAGTCCAAGTTGTAAATCATACAAGTTTAGTTAAATACATGATCAAAGACAAATACACAATTAAATACACGATCAAACTGTCCAATACACAACTTGCAATGTATTACTTACGCCTGTCTGTTTTCGCAACTGTCGGCATCGTATGACGTCATGCGCGTGCACGCGAGGGGAGTCAGATCCTGGCAGGGAGTCGGAATTCGGCACAACACATTACACACACGCCATGTACTCTTTCTAAAAACGCTGACGAACACACATTACACACACACACACACACAAGCACACACACACGCTATGCACGTTATACAAACAAACCCGTTACACATATGCATCCATTTGTTTTTGTTTTTTGATCTTTGTTCATGTATAAAATGGGGAAAAGGGAAACTGGGTTGTAAATTCTAATAGTTATGGGTTTGCTCTGACCAAGTTATTCTCCTTTCTCATGTTGGGGTGTAGGGAGGGGCTCCACTGTGTCTGAAACTTAAGGTTTCATGGAAGCGAAATCGGCACTGAGAAAACGGCACTGCATCAATCTTATCCAAGCCGGGTTTCTGAACTTTATTTATTTTTTTCCCCTGGTTTATATGGTGTGTTTAACTGAAATGTAAAACTGACTCAACAACGTTTTTTTACTCTTAGGGCCACCACTGTTACATAGGGTACTTTTTTCAATAACATTATGTTAGATAATTGTGTAGTTGATCACACATGTAATAGTTCTCCCTGTGGAAATATGGGATTTGTGCCTGTAATGTTTTAAAAATAATAATAATTAGAAGATCAGATTCATGGAGAGTTTCAGGGACATACGATTTACAAAAATGCATCAAAATGACCAAAATTTGGTACAGCAATGGTCTACTTCACATCAGGGTTCATCAGAGTTACTGAGAGTTACTGAAAATAGACCATTCTTACTTTTATTTCAGAGTTGATTGAAGAAAACGAGGAAAAAGAAGAACTGAGTGAAGTTGAGGAGAAAAATCATGTTAAAACTGGAGAAAAACCTTTGAGTTGCTCTCAAACCAAACAGAAAGATTTAAAGAAAAGAGCCAAGAAATCTTTCACCTGCACTCAGTGTGGAAAGAGTTTCTCATTCAAACATCATCTTGATGTTCACATGAGAGTTCACACTGGAGAGAAACCATACACTTGTGATCAGTGCGGGAAGAGTTTCCCTCAATCATCAAGCATTAAGAGACACATGAACATCCACACTGGAGAGAAATTTTACAAGTGTTCACACTGTGACAAGAGATTCAGTCGGTCAGAAGATGTGAAAACACACGAGAGGATCCACATTGGAGAGAAACCGTACACATGTGATCAGTGCGGGAAGAGTTTCACAATAAAAGGATACCTTACAGTACATATGAGGATTCACACTAGAGAGAAGCTACACAGTAAGTAGATCATCTTCAGATCTAACACTTTCAGATCTGATTCTGTGTCCTCACCACATGAGAAACAATAATGCATCAAACAATAAAATATCGTCTGGATAAATCTGTCCTAATCAGTCATTACAAGTGACATGACAAAGAAACATTATCTAAAGTTTTCACAGTGAATAAAGTTAATCTTCATCTTCCAAACCAGCAGATTCAACTGTGAGATTCAGATCAAATCAAAGATGGAGTTCCTCCCCGAAGAACAATGTCACAAAGTTTTATTCTTGTATACCATTTTGCTTCATGATATAAATATGATTGTAATAATCTTATGAGTTTACTAGTATGTTCAATTGTCGTCTAATGCATGTATCACTTGTACTGTGAGATTCAGATGTAGCCGGCTCTTGCACCTGGTCGGACGGTAGATGAGGCTCTGGCTCCCGGGCAATCCCCAGCTCAGTCGCTTCTTCTTGCGATGGCTCGTGGGTTGCGATGGGCTTTGGCTCTCCATCCGCGGTGGGCTTGGGCTGACGCTCCGCGAATACAGGTGATGGTGGGCTAGGCTCTGGGTCCAGAGTGGGGCTGGTGTCGCCGTACGCGATGTCCACAGCCAACAGCGAGTCAACCAGCACCCACTCCACAAAGGCGGCGAAATTCCCCCGAGGACCATCTCCGGACAACCACGCTCTGCACTCATCATTCAGGCTGGTCTTGAAGAAAGTGCAGAGGCAGTAGTCCAGGTAGTGGTTAAGGTTGGCTATTTCCACGAATAGTCTTGTATGATCCCTGAGGGAAAGGCTCCTCTGCTCCAGCAAGAGGAGGAAGCAGGCCGGGTCATTCATAACAAAAATAAAAACTTTCAAAACAGAAAACAAAACGAGGGGAACACGCTTTACTTTTTCAGTGTCCGGTCTTCTGTCACGGTGTGGTGCGGGAGAGAAGCACGTAAACGAAGAAGATATGATAAACAGCAGGGTAACAACAAACACACACACCAGGGTAACACAGACGTTTCCATAGATGAGACCGGACAACCAAACACTGAACAGACTGCAACTTATATGGGGAACGTAAATGAGGATAATTGACACGAAACACCTAAACATAATGACACAATCAAGGGGAGACAGAAACTAGGTCAAAGAATACAAGGGATGAAATGAAAACAAACACAAAAGTTCATAAAGTGTGACAGTTATCTTACCACTGAAATTTCATGCAACTAAATGTACTTTCTGTTGCCGCTGCTATATATGCAACAATGATAATTGGATTGCCATGCAGACTGCTGCTAATATTTCTAATAGTGCGTCTGAATTTTGATACGCGTGCTGCTACTATTACAATTCACTAAACTAGCGATCTGAATAGCTATGCATACTGCTGCACAAATATACTTAGAATTGCTATAAGCGTCTTTATTATCAAGCAAACGCAATCAAATAATGCCTATTTCGCTTTGAAGAGTTCACAAAATCTATTGTAAGCCCTGTTAAATAGCAAAAAAATGTAATGCCTATTTCACTTCAAAGAGTTACTCACTCCATGCGTTATAACTGAAATTTCAAGCAACTAAGGTACTTTCTGCTACCGTTGCTATATTAGCAACAATTTGACTTCCAGCTGCTAATATTATTTCTAACATTGCATATGAATTTGCTATGCATGCTGTTGCCATTAAATTCGCTACATGCAATCTGAATAACTGCTTACTGCTGCTACAGCTGCACAAAGGTACTTAGAATTGCTAAGCCCCTTTTAAATAAATGAAATGCAAGTAATGCCTATTCGCTTGAAGAGTTCACATACCATCCATTTTTAGTCACTGAAACTTCGGCAATTGTAAGTTGCTTTGGATAAAGTGTGCAAAATGAATAAATGTGAATGTAAACTACGGTCTACCTACTGTACTGCTATTAACAATTCGCTAATAACGCAATCTGAAAGTACTATAATTGCTGTAAGCCCAACTGAATACACAAATAGTAATTTCCAGTTTAAGAGTGTCCTACTATTAGCTACATTGTACATGGGCTACTGATTGGAAATTATTTATTATTAGTAGTATCTTTATATTTTAAACAAATTCATGATTATCTTTAAACTATCACTAAACTTTCATTATAAACTCTTCACTATTACTGAACCAAAGTAACGAGTGAAATAGAGATGTGGCCCCTTTAAGAATGAGTGCTCCCTCTTCTGAGTGCATTGCAATGCGGCACGAGTACACATGAGTAGGTATATTATTTTCTGCTGCTCATTAAGTTGTTATGGTTGAATAGGTAAGGCTGTTGACAGTATGACGTTTATGAAAGACAGTTATACAGGTTCACCTTGACTTAAACTGTGAACAACTGTGAAACACCAACTGTAAACCGACCCCACAAGTGAGGTGTGCATCTGAAAGCGATCCGTTCACAGTTAATGTAGAAATGAATGCCCACAGAAGATATCAAAAGCATTGGAGATTTCAGGCCAATAAGGTAATCCCCAATTCACTTTACTGTTCTAAATCCACGATGCTTGACATTGTATTCTCACATACATGAACTATGAAAACTGCTTGCTGCTGCTAATGCTACTGCTGTTATATAAACAAGACATGCTTAGTAACTACTCCTCACGTGAATAACCTGCGCGTAATTTTACACTTGTATGTTTTCTAGTTTAAAAATGTAAATCTGATGAACGCAACAATCCACTGAATCAGAGTGAAGACCGTTTACTTATCTTAGCTGTTTAGTTTCAGAGAAACTCTGAAAGTGTGCTGCAGGAATCTCTAGTGAATGCTATCAAGCTTAGCGTTAGTTCTGGCAGGTCACGTTAGTCAAGCTCGCATCAGCTGACTCTCAGCTGATCCACGTCTACCTACAGGGATGTGACACCTATCACAGCACCCATATATAAGGTCCTTCAGTATTATCACCAGCTTCTGCACTGCTCAATAGCTAATTACCCACCTCCATCCCCAACTCCTCCTCTTGTTCAGTCAGGATTCTGCCTTCTGATTCTCCTTGAATCAGTCTAATTTCTAAAATGTTTAATTAAATTATTGTAATTTAATGATATCTGCAATATTTATGTTGGTTCTGTTCTGTATACCCTGGGGGGTT